CACACACACACACACACACACACACACACACACACACACACACACACCACACAACATATGCACTTAAACACACACAGACAAACAAAAACAGCTTCTTTCATTTTTGACAAAACACTCAGCTGAGGAACGATGGGGACAAGTTGTCTTTAAAATAACATGAGCTCATTTCTGTCCATGTTCAAGAATAAATCAGTTAAATCTGCAGAAATGGGATCAAACAGGGAACCAAACTGCAAATTAAAAGTACGGTTTGTAGGATACTGAGACACATTATGCAATAGATTTTAAATATGAGCAAATTGGATATTTACAGAACATATTTTTTTATATACTGTATATATTTACACCGAATAAAATAAAAATTAGACTCCTGATCTCGTAAGTATGAGATCAGGAGTCTAATATTTTTTTTATTCTGTGAATGCAGATATTATCAAACAATTATGACATATTTTCCCGTAATTATGAGATATTATCTCAAAATTATGAGATCATGATTTCATAATTATGAGAACAGGAGTCATTTTTTTATTTTGTGAATGCAATGTTCTTCTGTAGAAATTAGTCTTTATAGACTCCCCTTTAAAACATAAAAATATGTCTAAAAGTCTAAAATGATGTCTAAAAACTAGAAGCTAATGAGAGGATTATTGTATTAAATCAATCACTTGTTCAAAGGTAATATGAGCAATTATTAAAAAGGGCCAGTTTTTGCTACAAAAACAAATGTGATTATAGCATCAGGTCGTACAAATAATTAATTTTACACAATCAAACTTAAATAGAAGTAGATCCATTTATCAGTCGACTGATTTTATTCTGTCAACAATGGAGAGAATGTTTTCTATGTGTTATTTTAAGGTGTACAAGCTCTTTGATATTGTATTTGATATTGTGTTGTATTTGGGACATCGGCTGCCCTGATTCTAAAAATACAAAAGTCACATGAAAGTCACATTAGGCAACCTCTATTTTTAATGAAACAAGTAAAGGTCATAGAGTGTGTGCAGAATGTTTGCAAGACACCCTCACAATTTACACTACAGCAGCAGAGTGTCAGGTTTTTTTACCTGAAGGTGCGATAAGGGGTTGTGAGATCGAAGCTCCGACGATCTGATTCTTTAATATTTCCAACATTCATGTCAATAGATGTTATCCCCACTCCAATATGATAATCCTGAAGAAAAACAAAGAAAATTATCAATAGTTCTTACATCTTTTATTCAACATAAGTGTTGAGTTTAATAAATGCACAGAACACTTGGTCAGTGCCGTGATGTTATTTGTAGTGTTGTGCAAAAAAAAGAAAGTGTGGTTTGTTCACAACGTACCTCTAGATTTTTGTAAAGGAAGACTTTATCTGAGGCAACAACAGTATAATATCTGGAGCGTAATCCTCGGAGCTCCAAATACCCCTGATGATCAGGGTTTACTGGGGAAACAAAATTAATGCTGCTTTGTCGCTGGCGCCCCCTGGTGCAGCTCTGCAGTGCACTCACCCAGTCACTTTTCTCAGCTGCAGGCCATGAACAAAAAACAGGTTTTAGATAAACATTTATGCACAAATGCAAAAGTATATTTGAGACCTATGAAATGTCCATATAGTTATTGCCAAAGATTTAATAAAATGGTCTTGTCTAAACATTTCTGAATCTTGCAAAGATGGTTTCAAAGATGGTCTTTGGACCATTTTCTGCATCTTCCTTCAGATAATCATCTTCTAAAAGTTTGCCTTGATTTAACTAAATTATAACAAAGTGTGCCTTTTGGACAGAAAAACGCTTCTAAAGTCCAAATACATTTTTCACACATCTTAAAACCACAAGAAAATCCTGCTCTTCGGAAACAAATAATAATTGGTGGTTTAAAGTATTCCGTCAAACTGGAAAGAGACGAACGGAAACAAAAACAAACCTTCGCTTTCAGCTTTGAAGATGAAAGTTCGATTGTTTGTGACAACCTCAAACTTCAGCTCTGCTATGCTGTTCACACAGCTGATAAATGCTGTGGAGATGATCCCTTTGGAATACACATCCTTCAACACACAATCACAGTCACATGTTTTATCAAACAGGCTTGTATAAGCGCGTGCGCTGTGTCACTCTGTGTGGCGTGTTTCTGCTGAATGATGCGCTGACATTGCACAGGTTGTTACCTTTTCATTGTCGAAGTATCTCAGGTAGTCAGCATCCAGCTTGACCCATCGTCTCTGGTAAAGAACCCTGTGTACGAGGACAAACAGGAAAAAAAAACACTGTAACACACCGAATTGCAAGTGTATAACAATTTGTTGTTTCGTTAAGGTTCTAAATGATGAACTCTATTTTTCAGCTCGTGTGTCAGTTATACCCCTGAGGTAGATTCTTGTCCAACCATCCCATCTTGATGACAGCAGTGAGTTGAGAGTCGTCCTCTTTAAGCGATGAATATGGCCTGCTGGTGTACGGCAGGTGGAAACTGCTTGCTGGGCTCCTGGGGATTTTATCCTGCCAATCGCTGAGGTGTTTTTTTTTTGTTTTTTTTTGTTGGATGCACAGAGCAAGAACACAAATCATACATATTTACATATTTTTCTAGATAAAAATCATCATACATGGGTGGTGAACAGGAGCAAAGTGGAGTAATGTAATCTGATGAAACATATCTCACTTTCCATCATGACAGTAACAGAGCTTATCAAAAAGTGTTGAAAAACTCATTTAAATAGCTCTGAAACAAGTAAAATAAAAACTAAGCTCAAGCTCTCATTTTTATTTTAATATCAGTTGTAAATAATAAATCATCTGATCATTGCTGGATTTAACATTAAGACAAATGCAACCTCAGATGAACACTGGTCCTGTTGCTGTTTTATTAGTTTTGTAAAAATCTAAGCCAGGCTGCAGAAGCAGAAGCAACTAAGTCCAATCTTATAGGAAGTAAGAAGCTAAAAAAAAACTTTAAGTGCTCATCAGCAGGGCTAAATAACAGCAGATATTCCTATAGTTGGTGCTCATTTTTTTGGTTTGGAGCATTAAGAGATGCAACACACAATCCCATCAAACTAACAAAATTCAATGACAATAAAGAAGCAAGTGTTGCGATCATCAAAAATTGCAAAAGTTATAAGACCAATTTTGAACAGTTTGAAAGAACATAAATTTATAGAGATAAAAAAACTGCAGCATATTCAAACTCAAGGTCACAAAACACTAAAAAATAAACCCATAAAAAAACAAAAGAGCTACATTTCAGACTCTACAGTTACAGCACGTTAAATCTAAATTTTATTGTATAACAAACAGAAAAGGTCTGAAGTGTGATTTGTTCAAAAAAAAAAAAGAGTTGCTTCATCTTTCAAAAAGCAGCACAGCAGCACAGCTTAGGGTTGCAAAATTACTTCAGAACAAACCACGAGACTTCTGGGATTTTCCTCTTTAGAGAAATGAGACCAAAGCAGAAATGCCTGACCACAATGACCAGCCAAATTTAATTCAAAACTACACTAATCCAAATACTCACAGAGTTTGATGAATAGAGATAAATATGTAAGGAGTGGGGTCATTGAGGAGAAAAACTGTTAAGATTTCAACTTGTTTCTGTTACAATTAGTCAAATTTTTACAAGCTGTTCAATCATGAGGTGAACTTAGCATTTCCAAAATAACCACAGGAACAGTGTTATACAGCATATATTGTTGCTCATCTGGGATTGCATTTACCTGATATTTACCACTTATCCTTAATTTCATTTTTTAAAATCAGTGTATGCTTTAATTTCCCATGACAAAATGATGAAATGAGCTCAATGCTTGAGCTTTATGACTCACTCGTAACTATCCAGCAGCTCATCGTCACTGCTAAGAAAACTGTAACGTGCTTGTTGTTGTTTGGGTACTTGCAGGGACATTTCCTATTGGAAAAGACAGCTGTCAATCACATTACACAGAGGAAGAGAATGGGGGGCTAGAAGAAAACACACTAAAACATGTCCTCACCCTCTCTGCCACGTTCTTCTGCTGTAACGTGGGATAAAACAAGTCTGGATCCTCGTACTCATCGGAGTTATCGTCGCCTGAACTCAAGCCTGGGGGAACAAGTGGAGGGGTTGTAGAGTTTAAGTTACAAAAACACACACGTATCTTTACAAAAATATCATAAGTGAGCTGGAATAATGTCAGAAACGAAGCGCAAAAGGCATCTGTTGAATTTTATTGTTCTGACTTAGGTGTGAACCTAAAGTTACCAAAGCAACTAAGAAGAAAATATTTGGCAGCAACATTTTTTTTCTTAATCTATCACAATTGTCTTTCACTCTGTTGTTACAGTAAAACTCCATATGAGGAAATGCAGAAATACCTGCAGATCTGCAGATAGACGAGAATCAGAGTCATACCTTTTACTGATCTGGACCTTGTGCAGTCTTTGAGTCTATTTTATTTGTGAACACACCAAAATATTAAAGATAAATGTCAGTGTGCACAGGAAGACACTAGCTTGTTTCTGTTTCTTGTTTTCTTCAAAGACTTAAACTTAACAGGACATTTATAATAGTGTTTTCAAAACTTTAACTTATTTGTGATAATCGATGTAAAATCTCTAAAAAAAAATACTGTAAATAAAACCTAATTTTAAGAAATAACTAAGAAAACAATATGTAACATGCTTGACTGAAAAATATTAATAAAGTTACAATCATGTAACATAAAACAAGCAGTGCTCATGGTTATTTCTTCAGGAACAGGCTTTAGATTGACAATCAACCTTGTGAAGGATTAGAACTTCTCGTATAAAGACTTTTGAGATCAGAAAAGCCTGACTCAAGGTTTGAATACCGGCTCAGAGTTTTCATTGTCTTGCTCCTCTCTAATCTCATTTAGCTTAAACCAAAATGTTCCCACACTGAATTCAGCGTTTGTTTTGAGAAGCTGTTTTAGTTCCACCTACATTTAAACTCTGACACAAAGAGAAGATGAAGAGACAAAAGCAGTAGAACCAGAAGTGTCGGTCTTAGCTTGTTTTTTGTTTCCCACATTGGGCTTGGGTAACGTCCAAGTTTACTATTTATTTTGGCACTTAAACACAGTGGGTAATATCAATGTCAAAATGAACAACCAAGAACATTTTTTACTTATTATAAAAGTGATCACTGTGATTGGGACAGGTAAAGTTATTTGTACGTTTCAAAAGTGCCGAGATTATGTTTAAAATGACCCTTTTTTAAACTGCAAAGCTCAGCATTTAACCCACGTTGTTTGTAGTGAAGATATCGGGAACAATGTGCATCTTAGAAACAGGTAAGACATTTTCAGAATAATGGAAACAACACCTCCAGGGCGTACCAAGAACAAGTATGCAGTGAATTTCCTTGCCCGAAGACATTTTTTTTTCTTGTTGGTAAATTGAGTCAGCACATTTCCAGGAGAAAGCAGCTTTTTCCAATCTGTAAACCAGTATTGCCTCTTTAATAGGACGGTTTTTGCAACAACTGGTGCATTAATGTAACCAATGAATTTCAATGTATGCTGCATATATATATAT